ATCCTAACTCCTGGTCCATGTGAATGTGACCCTATTTGGAAATAGGGTCTGTGCAGATATCATCAAATAAAGATTTGGTCATTAGAGTATCTATCTAAGTCCAATAAAACTGGTATCCTTATAAAAAGAGGAGAAGAGACACAGAGACAGACACAGGAGGAGACCATGTGACAGGCAGAGATTGGAGGCAAGATATTTACATGGCAAGGACCACCTGTGATGCCAGAAGCTGAGAAGCGTGGTGCTGACTCTCCCCTGGGGTCTTCAGAAACAGCACAGGCCTGCCACACATGGGTCTCAGAGGTGCTGACTCTCCCCTGGGGTCTTCAGAAACGGCACAGGCCTGCCCCATGTGGGTCTCAGAGGTGCTGATTCTCCCCTGGGGTCTTCAGAAACGGCACAAACCTGCCCCATGTGGGTCTCAGACTCCTGCCTCTAGAATGGTGAGAATAAGCTTCTGTTCCTGACCCTGCAGGGTGTACACCCAGTCTCAGCCAAGGCCTCATCACATCAGACACAGCTCCTCCAGATCTCAGCTCCAGGCTCTTTCCCACCTGCCTCTGCCTCTCTTTCCAACCTTCTCCCTCTTCCCCTTGACTCCCATCGATTCTCCATCCCCACTGAGACCCACAATCCTTTGAAGGCAGGAACCATGACTGTCTAGTTCACAACCTCCCCCATCCCAACACTATGTGAACATGAAAGGGATTCGATGAAATTAATACAAACAGATCATGCAGTTACATGCTACATACACTAACACAGAAGGATAAATGCCTCTCAAAAGCTCCGTGAAGGCTGGGTACAGCAGCTCACATCTGTAATCCCAGCACTCTGGGAGGCCAAGGTGGGTGGATCACCTGAGGTCAGGAGTTTGAGACCAGCCTGGCCAATATGCCTTTCTCTACTTAAAATATAACCCTGTCTCTACTTAAAATACAAAAAATTAGCTGGCTGTGCTAGTGCACTCCTATAATCCCAGCTACTTGGGAGGCTGAGGCAGGAGAATCCCTTGAACCTGGGAGGTAGAAGTTGCAGTGAGCCGAGATCGTGCCATTACACTTCAGCCTGGGCAACAAAAGTGAAACTCCATCTCAATTAAAAAACAAAAAACAAACAACAACAACAACAAACACTCCATGAAGATCATTCCATTCAGGGTATTAAGCCAGGAAGCCCCGTTCACTGGAGATCAAGACCATCCTACATTCAATAGAGCCCCTTGGACTGCATTATCCAAGGCAGGGCCAATAGCAGAACCAACCGAGGAACTGGGCATATTCTCAGGGAAAACGCCTGCAGCCCAGCAAGGATCATCTGTACGGCGCCACAGCGTCATTTCACGGCTCCAAACATGTTTGGGGGGGACGTCCGAACTCGCATTCATCTGCTTATATATATAGGTTGTTTAAGGCTAAAACCTAAAGACTATTTCTATTAGCACAGCTTTTTTCTTTTTCCTCTTTTCCTACTGAACCATCCTTTAAAGGTATTCTGATGTGGTCTGAATGCCTTGTGTGTCTCGTTACAGGATTCTTTTTTAAAGGGAAGACATGAACTTTATTATGGCTTGGAATTGATCTGGTACGGGGTTTTCCAAGTGTCTGCCATTTGTATTCTGCTTTTATGATTTTTATCACATCTGTGTGCCCAAGTTATTAGCACGTAATATTCCACCTCCCCTTTTTCATCATGTTTTCTTGGGTGATCTCAGGATTTGGTGTTAAGATTTTGTTAAATACACCGAGTAACAAAGTCTCTAAAGCCAGATACAGTATTTCCAATTTCCATTCACTCAAAACACAGTAATTAAATGCTTTTGTAATGTGACACACACCTGCCCACACTCATTTTACCACCTGCCCCTCAATTTACATACTGTGCAGTGTCATTGAAAAAATAAGGCATTTGGAATCTCTCCTACTACTAAATAGCAGGTAACCATGTACATTCACGTACACACAGGCAAGCCTGACTATGCACCAAAGCCATGTACACCTGATACTATGTACCTGACACCATGTACCAGATCCAGTACTCTCAACTTCTCAAGCAAGGTTCTCTTGCCCACACTGGCCAGCAAGAGAAACCTCCGTGTCCTAGCACACACTGGGATGCCTCAATTCACTTGGAGTTTGTCTGCTGTCATTCGCTCAGCACACGTGTTTGCAGAAACACGTTATTCTTCATATGTAAGTTAGAAAGGCTCCAAGGACCCTTGAATGACAGCATTCTTAGTTGCCTGTTCTAAACCTTCTTTCTGGTTTCTTTACTGATATTTAATTTGTATATCATAAAATTCACTCATTTAACATATGTAATTTCATGGTTGTTAGTGCATCCAGAGTTGTACACCTATTACCACAATCGATTTCAGAACATTTTCTTCAGCCCCAAAGGAAACCCCCTACCTGTTAGTAGTCACTACTCATGCCCCGACCCCAGCCCCTGGCAGACACTCATCTACTTTCCGTTTCTATGAAGTGACCTATGTTTTTGTTTGTTTCTTTTTTGAGGCGGAGTCTCACTCTGTCTTTCAGGCTGGATTGCAATGGTGCCATCTTGGGCACTGCACACTCGCCTCCTGGGCTCCAGCGATTCTTCTACTTCAGCCTCCTGAGTAGATGGGGTTAGAGGCGCCAGCCACATGCCCAGTTTGTTTTCGTATTTTTAGTAAAAGCAGGGTTTCACCATGTTGGCCAGGCTGGTCTCCAACTCCTGACCTCAGGTGATCCTCCTGCCTTGGCCTCCCAAAGTACTGGGATTACTGGTATGAGCTACTGCACCTGGCCAAGTGACCTACTTTTGAATATTTTATATCAATGAAATCATACAATATGTACAACTGGCTTCTTTCACCTAGCAAAATGGGTTCTACATGAATCCACGTGGGAGCATAAATCAGTACTTCATTCCTTTCTGTGGCTGAAAAATATTCCATTGTTCCTATGATGTTTGTTCATTCATTAGTTGATGGACACTGAAGTCTGTTTACATCATGGGTTTGATGTACTAATTACACACACATACACACACACACACACACACACACACACACACACACACACACACACACA